GGGGGGGTGGGAGGGGAGAGGCAGACCCCCCCCCCCGCCGTCACTCCAGGGTTGGCACCCAGGGCGCTGATGCACCGGCGCCTCCAGGTCGGCATCGCAGAGCGGAATCTGCTCCTGACTCTGGGTCTGACACCAGGTACCGGGAAGCGGCGGCGGTGACACTCTGCGATTCTGGGGTGGCCCACCCGAGGTTAACGGCAACGGGCCAATAGGCTCCCCGTTAGCCACGCTTAGGCTGAGAACGGCAGACTTGAGGCTGACGCTCCCAAACCCCAGGCTGACTCCTCTGGAGACCGAGCCCCCAGATGGGACTGTGGGGGTTCTTGAGGGGCACTGGTAACCCCTTGGGTGGCTGGCAGGATACCTGAGGCTTTTGACTCCTTTGACATCTCCCCCCTCCTCCAAGATTCTGGCCCTGGGGGAGGGGCCTCCTCCGACTCCTTCCCCCACATGCATCTCCTCCTCCCGGGCCCTGGGCCCCTTCCTTCCCCTCACATCTTCCCCTTGGCTTCCTGCCTGGGCCTGGGGCAGCATGGGGCGACTGCGGGGCGGGCTGTGGGCTCCGGGATCTGGTCTCCGTAGCTCCATCCATCCCAGGGGCCGTCTCGAGGCAGGACATGACCCTGAGCCTCAAGAGAGGGTCTTGGGATTTTGGACCTAAAAATAGCTGCCTTTTCTCTGTAGCGATTTCTGCAAGGGCCTGAGGTTCCAGGGGGAGGTGGATTTGACTGCCACCGCCGCCAGCTCAGGAAATATATTCAAATTCCTATTTGAATGCGGTTGGGTGGGGGTGGTAAGCTGACTGGGTCCTCTCCGGGTAGCACCTCCTCTGGTTCCCTATGGCCTCCGCAGTGCTGGGTGGAAGCGATGTCTGCTGATGGCTGGCAGTTAGGGGCGCCTCGCCTGCCCTGGAGGTCCGAAGGCACACTGGCAATCTAGCCCGCAGGCTCTACCCCTGGACGAAAGCCTTGTCTGGAAGAGCCGCGGGCTAGTGGGGCATTGCCTTCTCCCTGGTCTGAGGTGCCACGTGCGAATGGGGGGAGGGGAAGTAGCTGCTCAGGTAGGGGTCCCTGAGGGTGTCTCTTGGGGACAGGGCCATAAGAGAGGTGTGTGACCCATCCTCCCCTAGCTCAGGCAGGCTTCCTGAGAGAATGAGGGAACCCCAGAGGCCCCCTCCCCCCATAGCCAGCTGCTCTGGCCACAGGCCATCCCAAATTCGCCTACATTTTTTTGCCTCCTTCTGGTTTCCAGCATATAAGGAAGTAGCCATCAGACCCTTCAGGCGTCAGACCTGCAAGCAGTCAAGATTCTGTGAGGTTTCAATAGCAGCTAATGGGAAGGTGGATAGACTTAAGGTTGAACTTCCATCCCTGCTGGCATCTTCCCTACAGCTGGCTCTCTGATGAAGCGCAAGGGGACCTGGCATTAATCTCTAGGAGGACAGCTGCAGGGATTAATGTGTCTTGGTTTTCTGTTCTGGGCAATGCTGAGGATCCTGGCCTGCGTCTGACGCTCAAGATGCTCCCAGACTTGAGGAGACAGATATCCCCCAGCCCCATGTTGTCAGGCCTGCGGCAGAGGGAGAAACCCCTGGGCGGGGGCCTGGAGCAAAGGCAAGACCTTGTCTGGGGGAGTCAGGCTTTATGACAGAGGGGACATTTATGCTGGGTTTTGACGAGTGAGTAGGAGTTTTCTTGTTGCTCTGGCTTCCGGCACCTAGCTGTATCAGGTCCCACACTAGGCAGGGGTGATATTCCTCGTCTGGGAGCTCTGGATCTTTTGCCCTGTGCATTTTGTCTCCCTTCAAAGCTCAGCCCTGTGCCTCTTCACAGTGGGGCTGTGTGTGGAAAGCTAAAAGGCGGTCACATTGAGCCGGAGGGAGGGTCCACAAGAACAGCTTCTATAGGTTTGAAAGTCCCTATTTGTAAATAGATTTAAGCCCGGACCATGAACCGCTGGGGGTGTGGAAGGGTGGGGAAAGAGAAGGGAGGGTGCTCCCATTGGGGGAATGGCATAAATAAGGGTGTGGAGGCTGGACTTAGGGT